AATTTAAAAAAATAGAACAGAAGAAAAAGAAATAAGAATAGTTAGGCATAAAAACGTTGCATTATTTATAAGTCTGATAAAGAATTGCAAAATAAGGTTTTTTTTTGGATTTCGCAATAATAAATAAGCATTTTTATACAGATTCTCACAGACATTCCTAATAATGCAACCAGTTAAGTAACGTCATTCCCGGATTCACTTTAATATATTTATTTCAGTAAGACAATTTAACTTGAAAACTAAATCTTATATTTTTTTTCATTGCTCAATGGGTATTCCAAAAGAAAAAGTTTTTTTAAATGTTTGGGGTGTTGAAATCATTTTTTTTTTCAATTTAACTCCTCTAACTATTTCTTCGATTAATTAAAGTTCTTTTCTATTCATTTTTTTTTTTGAAAAAACAAATTAAAATAACACTAAAAATCGAAGAAGACGAGCCGATTTAGAATTTTTAGTTCCATTAGTTGCATATGCAGGGTACCTCAGAACTAGAATTACAAATATGAAATGATGGAGCCAACACTGTTAATTTTAAAACACGTTTATTTTTTTAGCTTTATGTGTAGAACATTGATACACATCTATGTTTAGGAACAAACACATTTCTGAGGAGGATTAAAGAAGTAGTACACCAAATCAAATGAAAGTTTATATAAAAATAAGAACAAAGTATGGCAGAAACGGTAATGACAAAAAATTTAGAAAAGTTAGAAAAGGCATAGCAAGATGGTCCATAAATGACTGCACATTACTGGCGAAGTGATCTATATGAACAATATAAATTGCAATGAATTCTGATGGATTGACATTAAATTTCCACCCTTTGACCTAACATAAGTTAATAGACTGTTTGGATCATATATTCCAGAGAGATTGTGGCTGCCCCATATTTCCCAAATAACGATAAGTGTATCACATGTGCGAAGTTCTAATAGACTCTTCATATAAATTAATTAGCAATAATTAATTAATAAATTAATTAGCAATTTTAATAGCAATAACTCATAATTTATAAATCCATGGAAATTATTTTCTTCTGATTTCCATACAACTCTTTTACAACTTCAAATTGCACTCAATTTTAACGTGTTGTAATTAAAACCAATTTTGTCAATACAATATTACAAAACCAATTAGATTTGAAATTCAACTTAGTATTTTACAATTATCCACTTAAGAATTCTATAGTATCCACTTTATGTAGAAGAGTTCAGTGATATTCTTATGTTGACTGCCATAAAAACGACGAATATAATTTCACCTAAACAGATCAAGAAAAATACTCTTTGATTTAAGTAAACACTTTTTTTTTCAGAGGAATAATCTATCAAACTTCATTTTTTTTTTTAGAGATTCAACTTATTCAACCTTTTTTCATAAACTTTTTTCTAATAATTTCGAATTTTCTAGTTAGCTTAATTTTTTTTCTTTTTAATTGATAAATAAAATTTTTTAATCTAGTACTATAATTACCAAAAGCATTAAAGGATTACAAGTTTACACAATTATATTTATTATTTTTCCGAGACCTTTAAAAATATATAGTTTTAATATTTTAATTGATTGATATTAATAAGTTGATAGTTTAATTTAAATAGATCGTTGATAGATCTAATTCGATAATCGCATCGCTGGGGATACATCCTTATTTTTTTTGCGTCCCAGGGGATGCATCATCATTTTTTACGCGTCCCAGAGGATGCATTTTACACATCCCAGGGGATACATCATGACTTTCATTTCGCGTCTTCGTGCTAAAACAAATTCGCTAGTATATAAAAAGATTTAGAAACATTTCTGCCTTAATAAACACTGTTTTCAAAAACGTCATGTTTGCTTGTATTAATTTAATTTATTAAATTATTAAAAATTCCTTTATTATCACCTTAGGACAATTCACCCATAGATATTATTATACTCTAATTACTTATTAATAGTAGATTCATTGAACTTCATTAATAAGTCTAAATATGGAAAATCACAAAAATTATGAAAAATGTATTTCAATACTTACATCAAATAATTCAGGGAAATCGATTTTTTTGTCAGGTTTTTGTTTTGTTAATCGAGTCAATTCTGCTTGAAAAAGTGGGAACATTTTATAAGGATTGTTTTTATTCATTATTAGAATATCTTAGTTGAAAATCATGTATAGTTATCATTAACATTGGTAAAGTTTCTGTGTAGGCTATTTGACTGCAGTAAAAGCGGTAAAATAGCTTCCACAGCGAAGTAGTAAAAGCAGGAAACATATTTTACTTGTTCTTTTAACATGAAAGAGATTTAAAAAGAAATTGTTTTTTCTTTTTTAGTGAAACTTTATTAACAAATAAACAAACAGTCTTAGAGGATTTAACATTAAAACTGAAATGGGAAAAATTTCGTGAGTATCTTAAACCAATTTCAAGCTTAAACAATAAGATGTAATGAAAAAATAGTAAATATGCTAAATCTAAATAAACACTAAACTTCCGAACCTCTACTGAAGTTAGATAAATAATAGGGGGTGAGAGATGTTTTCAGATAAATTCAGGCATTTTCTTTAAAAAAAATATGGAATCAAAAGCAATCTGATAAAAGGAAAATAAGTTTGATATAATAATAGATGAAACCTTTGAAATTTAAAAAAAAATATATACGAAGTAAAGTTTTCTAAATTTAAATAATTATATTTCATCCTATTGACTGGTGGCCACAAGAAGATACACTACCTAAAAAAGACACTTTCAGTTTTTGACTTTTTTTTTCAATTTTTCAAAAAATGCTTTGATAATTATTGCACATTTCCATATTTGGCAATAAAGTTTAACGCCTTCAAAATTTTGAGTGACCGGCCATAAATTACGGATGCAAAAATAAAGTGTTTTTGAAGACCCCATGACAGCAAATATGACAATAAACTTTGAACTTCCATCAATTACTTTATTATACACAGTTATTTTACAATATTTAAGTTATTTTACAATAAGCGAAGTTAAAATATTTATGGTGATATAAATATTTTAATAAAAAGAAAAGAACAACAATTTTTTTTCCTTCCATTTTTGGCTACAACTTTAAAAAAATTTTTGAAATTAAACAAAATTTTCAACATTTAATTAATGACAAAACTATCATTCTAAATTTGAAAAGATTTCGTTTAAACTTGTGCTGGATGTAAACATTTAAATTAGTTCTCTCACATAGGTGAAAAATGTTTATTTATTTATTTATTTCATTTTAATATTGACCAATGAATTTATGTTTTAACTTTAGTTTAGAAAATAAAAATTGCCTTAACAAAAGTTAAAACAAAACTAAAAAACAATTTCTAATCCAGAAAAGATTAATCCTGAAAAATCAAGTCTTTTAATCAGGGCTGATTAATCACCTATATTAAGGAACAGCACCTATTTATTTGATGCCCAGAATAATTTTAATGCTCTGCTAATTAAAAAAAACATTGTTCAGTTTCTTCTTTTTACTTTTTATAGTTTGGGTAATTTTTTTTCAACTCTAAATTTTCTGAAATTGACGATATAGTTTTTGGTCACAAAAGATGACTATTGTAACTTATGCATCTTAGGAGGTAAGTAATAATTATTTACGCTTTCGCGGGGATGAATTTTACTCATCGCCGTGGATGCATCATAACTTTCATTTCACATCTTCAAGTTAAAATAGAAACGCTGTTGCATGAAAAGGGTCTTAAATATTTCTGATTTTATTAATTTTCAATAAACATAATATTAATAAAGTTGGAATTTACTTAGGACAATAAAATTTTTAAGTTATTTTTAAGTTCACTAAAATGTATTCAATAATAAGTCCAATTCTAGAAAATCTCAAAAGTTATAACAAATGTTTATATTTTTTTTCAATCATTCAGTGAAAAAGTTTTTTTTACTCGTCATTTTCAGGTAATTTCTGGCATATTTCATAAAAAATGGAGACAACAAGACAGAAACAATAGGTTTAACAGAATATTTGAGGAAGTTTTAGAATTAAAGAAAAGAATATTAGAAGTAAAGTTTTCGAAATTTAATTAACGATTATATATTTTATCATATTGTCTGTTGTTTACATGAAGGTACACTCTCCAACAATAATTGGGGAAAAAAAATTCGATTTTTGACATTTTTTTAATTTTTCAAGAAATACTTAGGATTTAGAGATGTTTAGGTTAGGCCTCAATTACTTCAGTAATTGGAGGAATTAATGCAATTACTGCACAAAATTTCATAAGCCTTGTTTAAATATCTATAGAGATACAGAGATTTTTATAAGCAAAAATGCGAAAAACTTTTTTTTTTTTCGCTATAACTTTAAAAACATTCAATAAATTTAAACAAAAGTTTTGGAACAATTTATAATTAAAAACAAAATTGTCATTATGGAATTTGAAAAAAAAATTCTTTGTAACTGCAAAAGATACCGTCGTTGTCGAGGTTTTGAGTCGTTCTCATTGCATGCGGATTGCCACAAGTTCTCATATTTCTTGAACGGCGATTAGAGGTGGGGAACCACATTTCGTGAAAACGGCTCTATAAAGAGCTTAAATCATTTTTAATTGCCGATGGTTGGGAAGAAGAGTTGAATAGTAAGGCTGATAGTTAGGAGAGGATTCTTACTAAAGAGTACTCACATCACCTTCTGTTCTCCGTTGTATGGGAATTTACTACGATATTTTTCTATTCCATAATATCTTTCGTATTTAATTGTCAAAAATATTTTCTGAAATTTCTATGACGTTTACTTCCAGAACTATGTTTAATGCAGTTTGCCCTTCCATACAGTTTCCTAGCTTTAAATTTTCCAATTTAGGTGAAAATCAAAAGAGAAACTAACGTACTTCCTTCTTCTAAGACTAACAACACGTTTATGGTGAAAGCAGGGAAAATGTTGCCATAGGTAGTGTGTTCTGCTGTGCGCCATCTGTAGCCCATTTCAATTACCAATATTTACTGCTAAGCGCCATCTGCAGATAAAGATCGACTGAAAAACTTTTAACTGTAACTGCATAATGAAATTTGAAAATAAACAAAGCGGGTTGCAAAAGTTTGAAAATTTGCTCATTCAATTACAATTAAAAATTATTATAATATGGATAAACATCCTAAACGCGCTAAAAAGAAGTATACTTGTCCAAATCCCCTTTTTGTGAAATGGCTCACGGAATGGAAACAAGAAGCATCGGAGAAAGGGTTGAAATTGCAATATACATATGCAAAGGTTATATTTATTAAAAATAATTGCCTTCGTTTAATTTGTATATTTGCTTTAATTTAATTATGTGTTATATTTAAAATGCTTGATATTTAAACAGGTATGCAGAGTCCAAAATATTGTCACTTACCTTTACTGCTTGCAAGGAGTAGAGTATCACAGCGAGTGGAAATTATAATTTTCTTTAAACATTGTCTAGAATATATTCAATACGGAAAACATTGGTGTTCAATTAACAAACTTTTATAATCCAATATTATATTAACAAACTTTTATAATCCAATATTATATTAACAAACTCTTATATAAATATCCAAGCAAAACTAGAGTAATTAAATTTGGAAAAATGTTTAGTTCAAATGTGGACCACCTCCAATGTTAGTCTAATCTCTTTTTCTTTAGGTTCAAAATAAACTTCTATTTCCATTATTTCAGAACTTAATATTTATAATATATATATATATTAACATAATATTTATCATCAAGACTTATAAATAAAAAAGTAGTTGCAAATATTTGATTATGAATTGTTTAAATCTTCACAAATTCAACATCAATAAAATTTAAAAAACAATTTTAAGGGAATATTGTATCTAAGTTTTATGTATTTCTTCTTGATATAACTATTTTGCTCCTTTATGAAAACATGTAGGAAACAGGGTCATTTTAAATCTCTCTCTCTCACATTTAACTTTCCCTTAACTTTCATATTCTTTCTTCTTTTTTTTTATCTCAATTATAATCTAAAAATGTTTGTTTTTTCATAATCCAAATTTGTTTTTTTTTTTATCCATAAATATTGTGATTTTAGGCATTATCTTCATTAAAAAAGTATCCTTTACCCCTATCTTCTGGAAAAGAAGCTAAAATCTTAGAATATTTTGGTAAGTTAAAACATTCTTTTAACCTAGTTACAATTTTTAACCTCTTATTTATTTAATAAAAATGTATTCTTGTGTTGAAAATATTCATTTCTTGAACCTAACAAGCATTTTTTTATATCTTTACTCATATCCATATTTTTATAGTTCTTAAATTATGTTCCTTTACTATAATAAAAATTAAAAAAAAGGATAAAATTAATAAGATCTTTTTCAAATAAAGTTAATATTTTTTATTTTTAAAATTATTTTTTTATTATTCTTTAAATAAAATAAATATTTTTTAACTAGTTGTTATTAAAAAGAGAATCAGGTTTTCAGTATTTTAGGAGATGTTGAAATAATTAGCACATGATAATTAATAAAAAACTTGCATGGATAAAAATAGCAATTATATTTGGAAAACTTTATTCTAAATCTTACTAAATTTTTTAACATTCAAGATTTTGCTGTATTTATAAGAAAAGTAAATACCACTCTAATAGTATGCAATTCATAGAATTTTGGTGTTATTCATAACATTGAATTTTGATATAAATAGTAAACTTTCAAGAAAATAATAATTGTGCTTAGTGAATGGTAAGCAAAAAAACCCTTTTAAAATGTTGAACAGCATTGTAAAAAGAAAGATAATTTGGTCAGCCAATGTATGTTTGCTTAATAAAAACAAAGAATTAAGATTCCAAGAAGGAAATAAGAAGATTAAATTATCTTTTTCTGTAATGATACCTAATACAGTGTTCTCTCTTAGTGTTTTTGGAATTGCCGGCTGTCCTGCCTTCCCTTTGATCTCTCTAAATGCGCCCTTTTTGTTAAAGAAAGCCTCCATCTCTTAAAAACACTGCCTGCCTTTTTGTTGATTATCATTCTTAAGGAAAAATTTATTAACTGTTAAAATAATAATTATGCACAAAAATTATATGTGTGTATATAGGTTTTATTCTGATTACAATTCAAAATATTTACTTTCTTTGGATTATTCTCAATTGGTTGAATTTTTATAAGTTTCTCTTTTTTCTAGGGAGTATATTAAAAGAAAAATACACTTTTAAATGATCATTTTCTGATAATTTTCAGTACAAATTTTTAAAAAAAATCTTTTAAGCTGTTTGTTAAAAAATAATTTATTTAATTTACTTTTTTTGTTACCTGTTTTGTTATTTTTTTTAAATTATGCACTGAGAACTCTTAACATGCCCTTAATTATTACTTATAAACTACACATTTTTCTCTTATTTAGATAATGAGTGAAAATTACTTTTTGAAAAATATATATAAAATAGTAAAAGACTAACTTAAAAATTGTTAAGGATCAAATTCAGTTATTACATAATATTACACATTTTGGTAAATTTATATGGTGTTAAATGAGTTCCCTTTTTAGAATTCAAAGTTCTTTTTTCAGTGGGGAAGCACCTTGTTCTTTTTTATTCCTTGGGAGAACTCTGCCTGATATAAATAGAAATGTCCGCCATTTTGCCCTTTTTCATTTATTGCTCATATAAAAAGCAAGAAAAAATTTTGTTCCTAAGAAATGCTGCAATAATGGATGGCTAGCAATTTTTTAACTCATTTTAAAACATATAATTTTTGTATCTTTAATATTTGCATTTTGATTGTGACTTGGAAGCTTGTCGTAATTGTAAGCTTCTAATGTGTTGTACTCTTTTGCATCTAACTTGTATGCACTGTATTTTCCTATGTTTCTGCTTTCTTTTTAGTTTTTCACCCACTTAGTGTTAATCCTGTCTTTTTCTGAGCTATAATGTGGTGACATTCTGCATCAATGAACTTCTTTCTGTCGTCTTATTTAATTGAAAAGTGATGTCTGTATCCAAGAAGTTTCAGAAAATTTTGCCTCAAAAATTTAATGTGTTAATACATTAAATATCAACGCTCATAACATAAATAAGTGAGGTGATGAGCCAAAAATAGAGAATCTTTTATAACTAAAATCTAAAATAACAAAAGCTGACATTTTGAAAAATACTTCATATATCAATTAAGTTAAAACTTTAAAAAATATTTACTTTCATTACTAAAGAGCACTTGCTATTAAATAAGATAGATAAAAAAAATTCTTGTTCAGATGTTTTTATTTTAGGATTAAACATTTTATATATTATTTGCATCTACATTTTTGCTACGGTTTTGTTGGTCAGTGTGGTGAGTTCTAAACTATTTTATTTTAGATGTTATCTTTACCTGAGAGAATGATTCATTCTATCATTTTTCCATTGTTTGAAACAATTAAAAAAGTATAGTGCTTTATTTGAGTATAATAATTGTGTTAATGACTTAATTCCCTTTTATTTAATTCAGTAATTCCACAATTTTTTGAATATTTTTAGGAGATAAAATTTGTTCTATGCTTGATGCAAAATTAATTGAATGGCGACAAACGAATGGTGAGAATTTTACATCATATAATTTTCTACTTATTCACAGAAATTTAAATAGTTCATTGCTCATTTGATTTCAGTGACATAGCTGCCAGCTTGTATGGTTACTGGAAAAAAAAAATTTTTAAAGAGTGTTTGTAAATCAAAATCAAATTTTCAAAAAAATTAATCTACTTTGATGGCACTTTAGCCCACTAGTATTCCTATACATAGAAAAAAGTAATTTATTTTTTTCTCCCAAATGGCTGTGCATATAAAAAAAAAAATCACTCCATTATTTACCTACAAACTAACTACCTTGTATACACAAAAAACTTGTGTATCAATTTTATGCGCTCATATTTCAAATTAGATAGGAGAATAATACAGCTTTCTAGTTTTAAAGCCTAAATTTCAATTGTATAAAAAAAAGTGTGAAAATTTGGAAGCAACTAAAATTAAATTGTTTTATTTATATATTTGTTTATTTATCTATTTTTTAATTTTAAACCAGGATTTATACATTGAAAAAGTAATGCTGCTACCTCTAAAATAGTTTTTGTCCAGGGCTGTACAAGTTTGCACTTTTACTGTTATTGTTTTCTTCCTCATACTTGTCTTCATATGATTCATTTAAAATATAAAGAAAATTCTAACTATTGCATTGATCTCCTCTTTTTCCCTAATAACAGTTGATTCAAAGTTATTTGATATTGGAACTTCATAGAAATCAATATAATTATTTTGTTTTATGTTTTTAGATTGTAATACCACTGTCTGAAAGCTATTAATTTGCATACAATGCTTTCTTTAACACTTTTGTGCTGATTTTCACATAATAGTGCCAGCATGAAACGCTCTCATTTCCTGGCCAACACATCATTGTGAGAGTGCCAGAACGCTTTCTCTTTCATCCCGGTAATCAAATATTTGTGTTTTAGAACGTGTTAAAAGCTATAATTTTTGGCACATGATCATTGTATGTAAGATTTAAGATACTTGTAGATTTGACCTTACAGTCGAACGAAGAGACATAATGCTCACATGCATGTGATGATGATGCCTTACTAATTATTACCTTGCTTACTTACTTATGATTACTTGCATGCCTTCTCACTTTCTGCTTTTTAAAGCCTTTATCAAGTAAATGATGTTTTTTTCTATTTGTAAAATTTAATTTCTAAATACTATGTTTCCTATATATTTAAGTAATCTAATTCTTTTATGAGAAATAGGCATACTGTCATACAAAGCTACAATTTCTGAATTACACAAAAACAAAATTAGTGAATAGTTCAAACGAAAAACTTATGCTTAAAAATTTTCTGATTTATGACTTTTGCTCAAAATTTTTTTAAGTATTAAACGAATATTCAACTAGAGATCTGCAAATTATTTTTAAACATTAAAATTTTGGGCTGAAATAGCCTAGTTGGTAAGGCACTGGGCTCATGCCCAACAGTTCATGGGTTCAAACCTAGCCGGTCAAAGACTCCCCGTGTAGTAAATGTTGACTGATGCACGTTAAATCTGTCGAGTCACAAAGTCCTCCATGTTCCCATAACAAATCATACCTCTGGATGAACTGATCCAATAGTTTCCATGTCTTCAGGATTGGTTCAAAATTACAAGGCTTCGGATTTGAATATTAGCAGTCATAAACCCAAAATTGGGCCTGCTGTTCAATGACAGTTATAAAAACATTAAATTTTCTTGCCCAAATTCAAATTTAAATCAACAAAGACAATTGAGATTGCATTGTTAGTTAAATTTTTTTTTTAAATAGTTGGAACAAAAAATATTTTATTCAAATTTTCTATTTAAAATCAAGTTTACTGTTTAATAAATTCCAGTGCTTTAAACCCCTATTAATTATTAAAGGAAACATTTGTTAGTTTTTTTACTTCATTTATTGTTAAATTTTTATCAAAAATAGAAAATATTGAAAGCATTTTATTCACTCATGACTATTTTCTCCTTACCTCTATTTTTTATCATTGAGTCTAGGTTCATCTCCACTAAACTCAGTTGAACAATCTCAAGTTTCTGTGATATCTGGATCAAATCCCATAAGCAAGCCAAAGAAACCTTCAACCACTTCATTCAACTCACCAAAAAAAACTAACATTAAAACAATAACTGTCGGAAGGACGGCAACATTCCCAAAGGCTACGCTTATGCCAAGAATCGAAGAAAAAACAACGAACTATGATTTTCCCTTAGATGATGTTAAATTTTACCTTTTTCCTGAATCTTTTGATATTTTACTTTGTGTAGACAACTGTGAAACTATATCTGGGTATGTAGAAAATACATTTAATTTTTCAATCTCACTTTTATTTCTTGTTTCTTAAATAGAAATCCTGTGTTTTGTTTTGTACTGTGAGCTACAATATATAAATGAATGCATTGAACTTAAGCGTAATATGAAATTGTTCCAATAATATTTAAATTCTCTCAAACTGTGACAATATATAAATGGCTAAAAATTAGGCTAAATTTGCAGAACTAGCTATTTCTTTTGTGAACAAACCAATTGAAATTTTTATATTGCGTTTAATTTAGCTTAATTTTTATTGAAAACCTTATTATATGTCATATTTTATAATTAAGTTTAAAACTAGTTGATTTAAAAGTTTATATTAAAGCAATTTAATTGAATTGCCTTTTCTGTCCTAGTGATTATTTTTCATGCCTGTTTGTACTTGTTCACCTTTGTTGATGGAATTTGGAATTTTCAATTACATTCAATCTGATAGAATCAAATTACTAGAAAAGTTATGGGTATTATTTGAGCTAAAAAGAATGTTAAACAAGTTGATTTTTATTTAATCAGATATCTATTTATAAATTATTTGATATAGTGAGATTTTAGTTATTGATTTTATTCACAATCAAACTATTGTAAACTAAAGCAGTTCTATTTGATATCCTTTTCATTGGAACTTTTATATAAAGTAGTGATTCAAAAAATATTTTATATGTTGATCCTAGTAGCAGAATTTGTGTGATACAGCAGCAGGTGCTGCAGATTTATTTTGCTCTTGGAGATTAAAATAAACCAAACATTAAAAAAAGGCATAAAATATTAAGTTAAACTTTAAAGAAATTATCACCCATCTATTAAAAGCTTATCTTTTATCTTCCCTAATTATGTTTCAATTAGTTATAAGTACTTTCTTCTAATAGTTCAGTTAATTTATCATAGATTGTAGAATTTAACTTAGTATATATATATATATATATACAGTCGAACCCNATTCCCTAATAAATGCTAAATCTTATTTTCCACTTAAGGGTTTTAGTTTTAATCATTTTTAACCCTATAAACTTTCTTTAAATCAAAGTATTTAACTTGAATTTATATTAATAACTAGAATATTTATTTATTTAAAATTTAATTCTATGAAAAAAATTTAACGTTAAAACTTATGATTAAATGGACTTGTGTATTTTGTAATTTGATAAAAAAAATTTCAATTTTTCCATAGTTTTTTAATTATTTCAATTTATCTAAATTTTTTCTGATAAATTGATTCTGATTTTTAAATTCTGTTTTCCTTCTTAAGTAATCAGTTTTGCATTTTCTAATTTTAAACGTTTTAAAGTATTGTATTTTCTGCAAAGAGATTACAAGGTTAATCCACAAAAAGAATTTAGTGTTATATAAACAATGATGTTTATATAACAATCACCACCAGCAATTGCTTTCAATATGTCGGTCTAAACACTTTGGCATGCGGCCCTTCATTGGTCAATCTGTTGTGCATGTGGCCCTTCACTGAAAAAGGTTGTGCACCCCTAGTTTAGAGTAGTACCATTTCAATATGTTTCTCTTCAAACAACAACAGTCAATTTCTAAGTGTTTAGCATCTTAACTTCATAACAAAATTTTATGATTTAAATTTATTCATTATTTAGCTTAAGTGTAAAATTATAAGCATAAGTATCTATATTTATTTTTTTGTATGAAATGTTTTGCAAGATTTTACAAAACTTTTATTAGTATGATTGTTATGTTAAAAAAATGAATGGCATACATAAATTCTGCTAATGAATAATAATTGTAATATATCTATAAACTAATTAGATAGTTAATTATAAATGTACAACTAAATATTAACAACCTTGAAACATAGTCTCTTTCTTAAACTATTCTTTCGCTTTTCCAGACATGGAAAGAGTAAAAAATTGTTCCAAACTGAACTGCAAAAATGTGGAGTGGAATTTGAAGTAAGAAAGCTTCATGTTGGAGATTTTCTCTGGATTGCTCGGGATAAAAATGATAACACAAAGGAAGTCGTTTTAGATTTTGTTGTGGAACGTAAGCGATTGGATGATTTAGCTCATAGTATTAAAGATGGACGATTTAGAGAACAAAAGGTAACATTTTAAATCACATTTAAATTATATCTGAATGTTTTTTAAACGATAGATGTTTATTTTAATGCTTATCGTACTTAACCTGTATTGCGTATCTTATCGTTATATTTTTTAAAAAACTTACTTGTTCTTGAATTTTTTGAGAAACCATTTGTGATAATATGAACATGTTATTGATGTGAACATTGGTTTTCTATTTATTTTATTTCAAAATATATTTTTTTTGTAAGTCTGTTTAGTAAAAGACTGTTGTTATTATTGTTGCATGTTAGAATCCTAAAAGTTGACAAAAATTCATATTTTTCATAACTTCTGGACAATAACATGTTTTTATAGTCAATCTCCATTAAAAAAAAACTTTTTTTTTTGTTAATTATTTCAATTGAAGTATTTGATTTTTATATTTATGTGAAATTGAATATTTTTACACTTTGGAATTTTGTTTGTTTAATGACCTGTGTGGGACTTTTTTTTTTCTTGAGGTTGAGCACTAATTGATGTTCTAAAACTTTTTTTTTGTGGTGTTTAACAGGTTTTACCCCATCCGTAAAAGGTTTCGTGGAATGCACCATTTCTACTTTACTTCTTCTTTAGTGTGTTCCAAACTACTTCTAGTTTTACATAATATTGATGAGTTCCTAATTGTAGTAAATCAAATTATTCTGCATTAAAAAAAAAAAAAATTTCAGCTTTCAGTCTGAGTTAAATTATTGTTCTAAACTTCTCAAATATATTTGTTGATACAAATTATACAAAAAAAAAAATTTTTTTTTTGCAATTTTAACGAGTCTTTTTTAGCCAAATTAGTACCTTAAGGCCCTTTCTACGCTGAACGACAAGTCAAATTGAAGGAGCTATGGGTGGGAGAAAGGGAGGAATAGGCGTGGACATAGGGGGTGGAGATATACTGAGCGACCATGGAAGTCCGGGTTACATTTTTTGGCAAAACTCAATATTTAAAGGGTGCGCCAAAAATAGATCACGCAACTATACTTATTACTTTTTAACTATTTTTGGTGTATAAAACGGAGGTAGTGTGATTTCTTGTTACTCCTCTTATTTATTTAATTATTTTTACACCATTCATATTTCGTCATCATTCCAAATATTGGTAATATCAAATAAAATTTAAAATAATGTATGACACTGTTTTTTATTCTTTCATATTAGGAATGCTTTAAAACATTTACTCTGCTCTAGAAAAAGATTTATATTATAAATATTAATAGTCTAACTAACAATAATTTTGTATAAATTGTTTTGGGTCTTTCAATCTTCTTTCAGCGTATCCCCAACAGTAAATAAATATTACAGCCTCGATATCATTTTGAATTTTCTTTCACTCACGTAACTATGTAATATAGCGTGTATATAGTCATTACATCTCCGAATATTTCAGACCATATTTTACTTAAGAATTAAAGTGCGCAAGGGTTTTACTAAACCGGGGACAATTAACTTG